GAGACCCAGTTGAGGCCAGAACTGGGCCCAGACAGCTTCAAGCACCAGGGCCCAAGACTTCAGATGCTGGAAAACAAAGAGAAGACAGCTGAGGACACATCTTCGCATTTCATGCAGAGAACAGTCCCTGAGCGGGATGTCGCTGTTCTGTGTCACTGCTGTTGCAGGACAACTGCTGCCAGAGGACAGAACGTTCCAGGCTCTGAGACAGTCATCACAGCCCCCGTCCTGCTGCCACAAATGCCGGCAGTGCTTTGATTTTCGTCCGACCACTCTCACATACGGAAACCTTTCCTAATGTGGAAATTGAAGGGGCAGGATGAGGGCCCACCTTCAGCTGGGTAAGGATAAAGATGAGTACAAAGAAAGTTCCAGAACAGGAGTGAGAACTGCCCCTGGCCTTTATCCTGCACCCAGGAAGTCTTCCTGGAGGAAGGGACAGGTTAGGGTATAAGAGAAAGGAAAGAAGGAACACTCCAGGCAAGGGACAGCAAGGAACAAGGAGAAAGCAGGAGACTGAGGCAGCACAGAGAACCGACACAAAGACGCCCAGGCCGTCAGGACATCTAGAACAGTTCTCTCATCCTCTAGAGCTGCTGGGTAACCCGTCCTTGCACATCTGTTCCCAAGCACCAGTGGTGCCGTGATAACCCTGGCCTCCCGGGGACACCTATTCCCTCCAGACAGCACCTCTAGGACACCATAGTCTGAGACCTCACCTGCCCTCAGACCCCAGCAACACATAGCCAACTGAGCCCTTCTAGCCTATGCAGCTTCCGGAACCTCGTGGGTGCTGGCTCCACCCCTCCACCTGCCTTTCCTCCCAGACCTCTCCGAGCCCCATTACTGCCTTGTGATCTTTGACAGGGCTTAGAGCAAAGGGATGAAGGGCAGGAAGAAAGAACAGGTGACAGGAAAGAAGGAAGAAACTTGGTGCTGGGATGCTTTCTCCCCTCCCCTCTCTTTTCTGAGCCCCACTCCCTGGAATACCAGTCAGCTCCCCAGGGCGGAACCTACTTTCATCAGATTCCAGTGGGAATCTATGAGTTGGTCTCTCAGATGGGACTGTACGTGTTATTTCCCTCCTCAGCATCTGAGCTTTGGTCTGCCAGCTTGTAGAATTTGCAAGTCAGCTCAGCCATATCAGCACAGGTTAAGCCTTCCTCTTTCTTTTTTTTCATTTATTTTAATTTTATTGAATTTTTGTGTATTTCATACAGAAAATCATCTTTATACCCCTTTCCCCCTTCCCCTTTGGCACCCTCCCATAGCCCCCCAACTGGAGTTCATACATTCTATCTTTTGTATTAAGGCCTATCATATAAAGCTAGCGTCCCCAGATGTCCCTCAGTGTAAGTTCATCCACCGGGGTTTAGTCAGCCTATCTGGAGTCCCTCCCTTTAAGAAGATCAGCTCTTCCTCACCCAGCAGTAATCAGCTGCCAATAAATCTTCGACTAAGATTGGAGCCTGCTGTTCAGTTCTACAGTTTTGTGCTGGGTTTTTGTCTGCCTAAGTTTGCATGGGTCTTGTGCATGCTGACACCATTGCTGTAGGTTTATATGAGAAGGGTCCCAGGTGCCTATAGGACTATTTCCATATGCTCATGCACCTCCTCCCTGGCTTTACAATCTTTCTGCCCCCTTTTCCGCAATGATCCCTGAGCCCTGGGTAGGTGGACCTCAATATAGGAGCCCTGTCCAAGGACCCACACTCTGCAGACTCTTATTCTCAGTGTTTTGGCCATTTGTGGCCTTCTGTGTTCCTGGCCCTCTGTTGCATGAGAGAGCTTCATTGATCTCATTCTTTTTAAAAAACATTTAAATTGTAAAAATACAACATATATACTGGAGTACTTAAGACATGTATGTAGATCCACACAGAACTTTTGTTCATATTCAGCACTGTTCATTATTGTCTCAAAGTGGATTTTTTGTTTGGTTTTATATTTTGTTTACTCTTTATTTTAGTGCATGAGTGTATTGCCTGTATGTATGAAGGTGCACCCATATCATGCAGTGCCTGAGGAGGTCAGAAGGTATTGGATCTCCTGGAAAAGGTCATTAGCTGCGACATGGATGCTAGGAATCTAACTTGGATCCTCTGCAAGAGTAGTTAGTGCTCCTCACTGCCGAGCAATCCCTCCAGGCTTGTTTGTTTCTGTTTATTTGGGTCTCACTGTGTAGCACTGGCTGGCCTGGAACTCACCATATAGACTAGGCTGACCTCGAACTCACAGAGATCTAGCTGCTTCTGCCTCCCAAGTGCTAGGATTAAAGGCGTGCGCCACCATGCCCAGCAATTTAAATTTTTTTAAACTAATCAATTAACTACTAATAGTTAATAATGTGTGGGTATGTGTATACCACCTTTCGGTATGGGGATAAGAGGACAACTTACAGGTGTTTGTTCTCTCCTTCCACCATATGGGTCCCTGGGATCAAACTCAGGTCCTCAGGCTTGGCAGCGAGCACATTTTACCCACTGGGCCATCTTACTGGCTCCCAACAGATACTTCTTGAGCTGGAAATTCAAATCTCTGAGCTCATCAATTTTTTTCTACCACTTTCTCCAGCAACACTAATATTTTTTTTGAGGGGGGTCTTTTTGAGACAGCATCTCCCTATAGCCCAGCTGGCCTAGAACTCACTATGTAGACCAGACTGGCCTCAATCTCACAGAGATCCACCTGCCTCTGCCCCTCCCCATCCCAATGCTGGGATTAAAGGCTTGTACCCACCACACCTGGCTGCCAATTGAATAATATTGATTTGTTCTACATTTTTATATACACAGCCAATCTTCTAGTTAGCTTCAACTCAACATGACACATCCCTGAGTTATCTAAGGGGATTGCCTCCATCACATTGCTCTGTTGGCATCTCTGTGGGGACATTTTCTTGATTTCTAATTAATGTAGAAGAGCAACATCCCTAGGCAGGTGGGCCCCAGCTGTATAAAAAAGCAGTATGAGCCCGACACGGTGGTGGACACCTTTAATCCAAGGACTTGGGAGGCAGAGGCAGACGGATCACTTCGAGATCAAGGCCAGCCTGGTCTACATAGTGCGTTCCAGGTCAGCTGAGGCTACAAGGAGAGCAAAAGAGCAAAAGAAAGCATGTAAATAGGTAAGCGATGTTCATAGTGTCTACCTCAAGCTCCTGCCTTGGTTCCCTCAGTGATGGACTGTAGCCCATAAACTGAAATAAACCCTTTCCTCCCTAAGTTGCTTTTGGTCATGGTGTTTATTAGAACAACAAAAAGAAAACTTGAACAGCCTCCCAGTTCCTTGTGTCTTACACTGATTCATTAATAAGTCAACACAGACATTTTTCATATCTCATTGTCAGATCTGCTAGGGACCATCAGTACTCTGAAAGAGACAATTGCAGAAGTGCCAGTGTTGTGTGACAATATTCCTGGGGAGATAAAAACAAATATCTACTCACCCCAGATAGGGAACTAAGTCCAACTTGGTGAATTAATGAGTTTTACTGGGGTTACTTAGAGGTATAGGTGAGGGGTGGGTTACTTTCAGGAACAGAAATGACTCAAAGACATCTGCATCACTAAAAGCCCACCCCAACATGAGTAATACGAATGCTGAAAGCCTAGAGTTTACTGCAGGAAGCTCACCAGGTGGAGACTGTCTTTTCCAGGCACCCCAACTGATCTCAGCTTCTTCTGGACAGCTGGATGGTCTGAGCCTCTTCTAGGCAGTTTGGCTGGTATGAGCCTCTTTTGGACAGCTGGCTGGTATGAGAATGTCTCTCAGCTCTCTTAATTACTTATATGTATTTGGGGAAGGAAGGACTTAGTGAATCTGGTCAGTTTCAAGGACTTCTAATGTTACTGAGTTGTTTACTTCCTGAGCTTTTTAAGAGCTTCCCTGTAGGATGGAATGTTTCACTTCTTGGAGCATCCTATATGCTATCAAATTTCCTTCTAAGAAGGAACCCAGGGCTTCATGAATGCTAGACAAGCACTCTCCCAATTGAGCTACATCTCAAAAAAGCTATTACAACTGGAAACAGCCCTGAGTCCATCAACAGACAAACGGGTGAACAACTTGTGGTGTTTCTATACGATGGAACATACCACCACCATGTAACTGTTCACACACACACAATGAATGGATGAATGTCATTAACAATATGTCAGTGGAACAAACCCAAACATTAAAGAGTACCTGTGTATTTGTCTGTCCACAGGAAGTACAAAAACAAATGAAATAAAGGGTGGCGACAAGGTCTGTGTAACAGTTGTCTGGGGAGAAGGTAGGTGTTATGTTAAGAGGTACAAGGGGAATTTTTAGGCGACCTAAACTGTTCTGTCTTAGTCATGCACATAGTTATTACATGATGCATGAATAAGTTCAAGCTGAACCTTTGGAGACCTTGGCTGTTGTCCTTGGTTTGAGAATCCTGGATGGATTTCTCTCTGGGAAAATCTTAAAAGAGAGGCCATGGGTTGGAGACGCCCTCTAAAGGGAGGGTAAAGACAAGTGGCTGCCAGAGTCAGAAGTGTGCTATGTGGGTTTGTATAACTAATGACCCATTAACAATCTGTACAACAGCCAATGGGGATGGAGTTCTAGAGCTCACCTGCAGCACAACATGAGGAAGGAAAGAAGCATCCTCTGCAAACTGGGCTCCAACCCTGCTGTGTAAAAATCTCCAAGACATTGCTTGTGAGTAACACTGTAGGCAATAGACACTTCCGTATTTGTTGGTGGCTACTTAATGAAACTGTGAGACCAGGAATGTGGTGGCTGGTGGCGGGTTTGAGGTGGGGGTGGGGGTGGGAGGACATGGAAAATTGTTCCTGAACATACTGTTAAGCACTCTGATTTCTTTGTACCATACCTACTATTTACCACAAATGTTTTCAAAATTATATAAACAGCTTGGCTCTAGGGTAGCAGAGAAGGCTGCCTTCTTAGGTCCTCAGAACACAGAGGAAGGGACGCTGCCCCGCCCCTCGCCTGCGCCTTTTCCCACAGCTAGCATTTGTGAAACAGGAAAACCATATCGTGCCCAGTCCCTGCTAAAGTACAGCTATTCTGTTTAGAAGTAGCTCCTGTCCTGAAGGTTATAAAGTTGCTGCCTGCCTATACTCTCTTCTCTACCCCTCCCCCAGCGGGTCTGGCTAGATCCCGCAGTCTTCTACCCCAGGGCCCTGCTACTACAGGGTGGAGCCTCCTTGGAGCTGCCCAAGTAGAGCCTGAGCCACGTTTTCCAGGGCCCGGCTGCCTGCACACAGAAAAGTACGCAGAAAAGGACCTTGTGGTGAGTAGGGAACTCAGAAGGGGCACGGGAGGTGGAGGCTGGTGTCAGAGGCTGCTCCAAGACTCAGGAAACACTGCCAAGCATTCCTGCCTGCCCAGGGTAGGCGGCAGTGCGGGAAGGCCGAAGAGTAACGGTTGTGAATGGGAAGTGTTTGCCTGGAAGGCAGGCCCTCAGGACACTATCCCCAACATTGCTTTGGGATTTCTGTTACTGAGAGAAACACCTCCCAAGCCCCGTCTATCGGGGATGTTCACAATATGTCATAACCACTAAAGATCACTGCTGAAGAGCGGCCCTTCGCAAAAGCGGCCCAGGGCTGGTGACTAAGTACCAATGCTTGCCTGCCAGTTCAAGGCCTGAGCTTGAAGTTTTGTCTCCCCTGAGGGAGTTGGGGTCTTTTGACCCAAATGATAGGCAAGTCTGCCATCTTCTGAGATGGTCCTGCAACATCACCTGGGGACAATGACCAGCAGCCACCTCGTGTCAACATTTGAATGATGGAAATAAAAAACTGGGCTGCACCTGCTGGAAAGAACTTGGGCCCAGGGTAATAGACCACCTCACCTACAGAGCCTTCAACCGTGCCGGTATGAATGAGCGTATGAACACCACTGAAATCTTCGATGGCGTCCGCTTCCCAGGGTTCATGCACACCCCGGAGTCCCTGCAGGCAGCTTGTACTTTCCAGTTCCAGGACACAGACATCCTCTTGGTGACATTCCCCAAGTCAGGTGAGAGACTGGGACTGGGATCGGGAGCCTGGACAATTTAGCCACAGTACTGCTGGCTCTACCCACAGGGTCTCAATTCCATTGATACTATGGAGTAGACTCTGGACCCTTTGCCTGTCACCTGTGTATCTGACTTGAGTCCTGGAGCTGCGTCTTTACCAGACCATACCCCATTTGGAGCCCCCACAGCCTCCCTGGCCAAGTGTTCTCCTTTCACCCAGTGGCCTTAGAGGCCTCAGGATGCCCTCATTCTGGGCACCAGCAGCCCCTCTCCCATCCTTTGCCAGGTTCCCACAAACTTTCCATAACCTCTTTGGACTTGCGGGAACATGCCGTTGAGCATGTAAAAAGAATGCTGAGGATGGCATGGGTTTGTTCTGAAAATATGGCTCCATCTGGGGTGTGTGTTGTCATGTGGCCTTTTGAGGACAGGCCCTGGCTTTACCCTGAACCATGTTGAGGTGGGTGGTGTTTATCACCCAAAGAGGTGAGTTTATGTGAGGTCAGGAACCACTTATCTCATAAGGCTGTCCTGCCCCTTTCTTCAGTGCGGGGTGAATACCAACATGGCTTTGCTGGACCCTGCATGGTCATCCTGTTCATCTTGTATCAATAGAGGACAGATACCCAGGGGTGAGAATGGGAACCAGAAATGGCATTTGCCTTTACCTCTTGGCCATAACCCAGCTGGGGGATAGAGTACCCTTAAGAGCAGCTTTTGCCTCATGTAGCTTGGAGGCCAGGGCTACCAGTGACTTAGGTGAGCAAATGGTTCAGTTAACAGATGCCTGGTGGAGACTGCTCTGTAGGCTCACAGCCTGGGGTTTCCCTTCCCATTCCTGGAGGGATCTAGTGAAAGTCAACGGTATGCCTGCTTCTGTCCCTCCTACACCCAGACATGCTTCCCCCCCTTCCACCCCACATTCCTGCCCCTCTTCCCAGCCATTCCTCCTCCTGCTCCCCTTCCCTTCTCCTGGGGCAGATCCTCCCTTTAGGTCTCACTACCCCCACCCAAGAGCCTAGCTTGTGGGCAGTGTTTCCCACAAGAAAGAATGTGGTGGGTGGTCTGGGATTAATCAGTCTATGGCTACAGCTTTCCCTCCATCCTCCTACAGGATTGAGCAGCAGAGCTATGGGCCCTTAATCCTGGATGCAGGGGTCAGTTCTTCATGTGTCCCTATATGGGGGACTATCCTCAGGAACTGCATGAGGCGACCCAAACAGAGAAGGGTATAGTCTGTAGGCAGCAAGATTCACTCCTGACTAGTGTCACCAGCCTCTGAGCCCAGGCTTTACCCAGAGGATTGGGAGAAGGCTAGATGGGAAGAGAAAGTAAGGCCAGCACTGCAGAGCCCCCTCCGGCCTGGATTTTCTTAGACTGCTGAGAAGTCGGCTTGTCCCACCATGTTCTGTCTGGCTTAGAAGAGGTGGAACCTTCCTCCTGATCCTGGAAGCCAGAGGAGCTAAGAAAGGGCCCTGTGACCTCCCACTCTACGTCTAACCCAGGTCTCCAGGATTTGATATCATTAAGGGTGACCCCAGGAAAGAGTGGTTGCTGGAGGGGACTAGACACCCTTCACAACTCTCCAGCTGCCCTCCTCTGGTCATAGTCAAAGCTTTCAAATGTCTAAAATAGGAAAAGCAGGCTGGAGCATGACCCTGTGAATTGCTCACTTAGCGTGGTGACGACCTGAGTTACAGTCTTGTTTTGTTTTTTGTGTTTTTTTTTCTTTTTTTTAAGACAGGCTCTCCCTGTAGCCCCAACTAGCCTGAAACTCACTATGTAGAGGAGGTTGGCCTAGATCCCATAGTGATCTGCCTGCCTCTGTCTCCTGAGTGTTGGGATTAAAGGTGTGGGCTACCACTCCAAGCCTGAGTTACATTCTTAATGGTGAAGGTAAGACAGGCTTTCTGGAAAGAGCATCACCAGGACTGGAATATTCCAGAAAATCAATCAGAAAGTGGTAGCTATTGGGTGTCATGGTTCTCCCTCAGGGAGCATGTGCCTGGGATTCTGGGCCTGAACAGGAAGCCTCCTAGAGCTGCATAGTGGTACCCTGCCCCAGTGCTCTGCTCACAGGACCTCTTTCTGACCGTCCTTCTGGCCACTTGGTGGTCATCCCTATTAGAAATGCATCTGCAGTCGCACGAAAATGACCACACAATCCAAAGGATTTCAGCAAGGCAAAAAGTTTTACTTCTACAGAAGGGTCACTAGCCTTGCCATATCAGGCAGGCACGTATGCTCAGCAGGGGTTGGATTGGGTTTTAATTCCTAGTGCAAAGGAATCCTGTGCCTCACTTGAGTAAGAGCTTGTCCTCACATTCTTAAATGATTGTCTTACTTAAAGCCACACAGATGAGTCTGGAGAGATGGCTCAGTGGTTAAGAGTACTAGCTGCTCATGCAGAGAACTGAGATTTGATTCCAGCACCCACATGGCAGCTCACAATCCTCCATAACTCCAGTTCCAAGGGAATCTGACACTGTCTTCTGACCTCCTCCAGCAGTGCACAACATGGGTGCACACACACACATGCAGGCAATATACTCATAACATAAAATAAAAAATAAATTTAAAAAAATTTTAACTTTTACAAACCTTTGTTGAGAATTTCATACATGCATACAAGGTGTTTGATCAAATCCATGCCCGCTCCCTCCCTTCCAGCACCTCCCATATCTCCCCATCACTTTTTTCTTTTTCTCCTTCTTTCATTTTTTTATTTTTATGGGGCTTTTGTCTACTCTAACATTCCTCCC